ACTACCGCCACTACCACCACTACCACCACTACCACCACTACCACCACTACTTACTACCACCACTACTTACTACCACCACTACTTACTACCACCACTACTTACTACCACCACTACCACTACCACTACCACTACCACTACCACTACCACTACCACTACTACTACTACTACTACTACTACCAACAACAACAACAACAACCAACAACAGCAGCAACAACAACAACAGCAACAACAACAACAACAACTACTACTACTACAACAACAACAACAACAATTACTACCACTACTACTATTACTACTACCGCTACCACTACTACAACTATTACCACTACTACCACTACTACTGCTACTACTGCTACTACTGCTACTACTGCTACTATTGCTACTATTGACACTATTGCTACTACCCTACTGCTGCTACTGCTGCTACTACTGCTACTACTGCTACTACTGCTACTACTACTACCGCCTGTACTTCTACTACTACTACTACTACTACTACTACCACTACTACTACTACTACTACTACCACCACCACCACCACCACCACCACCACCACCACTACCATACACTACAAGCCACTACACCACACTACACTACATTACATTGCAACTACAACTACAGCTACAACTACACCTACACTACATTGCCACCACAACTACAACTACACTACAGTACACTACACTACAGCACACTACATTATATAATGACACCACACCAGAGCTGCAACTGCAACTGCGCTTCATTAATTACATTATTTTTCAACTACAATTCCATTACGCTACAGTTACAACTACAACTGCGCTACACCACATTACACCCAGCAGTTGTGGGTGAGGTGGCCACTGCAACCATTGCAACCTTCAAAAAAAACGGCTCCAACCACCTTTCGGTGCATCAGTGGATTCGCCTTGCCATCCACGCATCACAACAACCCACCCCTCCTATAGTGTCCGATTTGTGAAACTTCCGCCACCGCCTTGTGCGGAACTACTGGTAAACATATTCCGCTGCTTCGATGGTTGCATGCTTCGATACCTAAATGCCTCAATGCTTGAACAAATTAAAGCACTATGAATATGATTTTCTGTTTGGTACATGAACGCACCAAAGGCTTCGATGTTGGAACGCTTCGCTGCCTAAAGGCTTCAACACTTTTAATGCCAACCCCGGCTGTTTAGTTGGGGGGTACCACCTCAGTAGCCATTTATCACCATTTGGGGGAATACAGCCCTAATAAAAAATGGTTTATTCATCCGGGGTTGACATTATATATATATATATACAATATATATATGTAATATATAATATATAATATATATTATATATATAATATATAACATTATATATATATATATATGTATTATGTTTATATGAATAGAACATCGATAGTTCAAAACTTCAACACTTTCGCACGTCACGCGTCAACGCACGGATCCACAATTACACAATCACACAGACACACGCACATGTACATACACACATACACGGATAAGTAGCTAGGTATGTAGGTAGATAGGCAGGCAGAGAGATCGACAGATAGAGATAGATAGGTAGATGGATAAACATAGAGACACATACAGACACATACAGACACATACTGACACATACAGATACATACAGATACATAAAGATACATTCGGAGACACTTGCAGGCTCATACGGTCCATTCATCGAGCCAGCCACCCATCCATGGATTTAGCTCAGCTCCGCATAGCATAGCATGATTCAGAGAAAACTGATGTAACAATTGTAGCATAACATCAAACGCGCACCCACAATTTCAACAACACTTGGTTGGAACGCCTCGTGCAGAAACCAAAGGAGCCAAAAGTGAAAAACATGAACAAATACGCTCAAAGCTGTGCCCTTGCTTTGGGCCGATTCTCATTTCAATGTGCAGGGGTGCTGTCCAAGTTTCCTTTAAGTTTTGGGGGCGATTTTATTCCCTGCCTTCGCTGGATGATTCCCTGTTATGGAAACTTTCAGTTGCTGGAGCCATCCTGCACACAAGGAACAGCAGTGAAAGAGGCCACTGACAAGGCATGGGGCCCGGGCCTTTGCCCAAAGGCCCCAAACAACACACATTGTTTTGGAATGCATGGTGAAGGTTGGCCTGAAATCGTGCCGCAGATGAGAGCCCAGTTGAAATTAGATTCTTCCCTTTTTCTTCATGCCCTTCATGATTTCACACGACTCCTTGAGGCTACAGAGCCAAGATCAGAAGGTCTCCTTGTCTGTGAGAGCATTGTTGGTTGCCACTCAGACCATATGCGGAGGCAAAACAGTTCGGCATGGCAGGTCCAAAGCGCATGTCCTCATTGTGAACTTGCAAGACATGTCCTGCTGCTTGTAATTGTATGACTCGCCAAAGTGCAAAAGGTGAATGACGCGTTTGAACCAGCTGCGACTAGCGAATCGCAATGCATCTTCTATGTGCCAAAAGTCTCAAAACATGTCTTCTTTTGCAGTTGGCGCGCATTTCATGTGGAACGCTAGGTAAGAGATGCCACGTATTCAGGCCCTTGCTTTAAGATCTTGTTGTCACCAGTGCGAGCGAAGCCTTTCCAATTTCCCCATCAAAACCATGTATTCCACTGGCTGCCACGGTCATTTTGTTAGCTACAGTCCATACTCCGAACTACAATCTTTCCAGTAGATGGGGCCTTTGTCCTGTGCAACAAACTTTGGATGTCGAGTGCGGCAGACATTGCAGCACACCTTGGGAGCGATTATCCTCTACGGCCTTTTCTGGGGAACAAAGCAAGCTGCATTTCTTGGACTTGCAACGCCAGGGCCGGTTTACAAAGGCTTGGCCGGCTTTCTTCAGTTTCTACGTTGAAGCCGGGCTCTTGATTTGCATTTTTTTTTGTGGACAGGTGTCCTTTCTGGGGCTCCACGCCATCAGTGGGCTTGCAGACTCCGAAGCCTCCAAAGATCAGCAGTGGTTGAAGTTGGGCCAGCAGAACTGGAAGCAAGTATACGCGGAGGAGGTGCTGTGATTCTGGACATCTTTGCTATTTGGTGCTTCGGCCTGAAGAGTCAGCAGTTTTTTTGGTCAGTGTTTCCATTCGGACCTCCCAGGACTCTAGGGATCCCACTACTACTGTGGCAGAAAGACAATATTTAAGGATATTCTAGGAGGGAAGCTCCAGTTCCCCAGCACATGATAGCAGAGGTTGGATTTTCTATCATGTTGGCATTCTTGGTGCTTGAAACTATCTTCTCATAAAGTTAGGAAGTTTGTGTTGCTGGGAAGGTGCGGGCCCTGCAAACTGCTAGAGCCAGCTTTGGACAAGTTGGCTGAGCAACTATGCGATGGCAAGTTTGACAGAGATGGCTTTCCAAGTCCTCAAGTGCTGCGTATGGACAGTGACCTGCACCCTGGCAAGGCACACAACTTTTGCAATTGCATTGCACATTTCTTTGATTCAAACATTGTTATCATGTTGGGAGGCAACTGAGATGAGAGCGGAGGGTTTGCCAACAGTCATCTTTTTCAACAAAGGCCGGAGACCGGTGGATGTGTCACTTTGAAGAGCTGCAGTTACTGCGATCAAAGGCCAAGCATGTGCAGTGAATGCTAAACCCATTATCCATTATGGATCAAATAGCCCTGAACCAGATGCACCCTGTGTAGATTCTGTCTCGAAGCACGACAAGTTGTGGAGACTTATACTTTCTCCTGCACTTGGCTTGGGAGAGTTTGTTGAAAGTATCTGTGGCATGCAGACAAGCATGGCACTTTCACGCTCCTGCCGCTGTTGATGCTGAGCTTCAGCGACAGCATGGGAGACTTCAAGCCTTGAAGAGTGGGGCTGTGGGGAACATGTGACAGGTGTTGAGGTTGGCCGGCTTGAAGGCGCAGTTGGTCTCAGAGCACTTGAAGACAATGCTGCAAGACTGCTTGGCCTGGCAGAGCTTTCAGGCTCCATGAGTGAAAGCTCTATTTCACTAGCTATGCCAATAGACGGGGGCTGGTCCTAGCCTTTGGCAGCAGAAGTTGGGTTGAGTTTGCCTTCTCAGTTTCAAATGTGCATTTGGCTGTGTATGTATGACCCTTCGTTACCCGTTTTCCAGTTTGCTACGCTTCTATGTTTCTCCCTTTGTCGATCTGTGTTTTGATCCTATTGATTTGGATTATGGCAGGTGGCCCCACTGGAGTGAAATTGAACTCTATGGAGGACAAAAACTTTGGACATAATTCAACTTTTTGGATGCGACATTACATTTTGGCAGTGTGAGTTCCAAACTCTTGAGGACGTTGAGCTGAGTGTTCAAATGGAAGACGTGGTTTTGCTCGGTGTCTTCGGCGGTGGTCGCTTGGCTAGAATCCAGGTCCACGCAGTTGTTTCTACTCGTAGGGTGGTTACAGTTGTTATCAGTCATTCTGGCATACTGGCAGTTTTTGAGTCAAGCAATCTTTCTTTCAGGCTCAGCCTTCCCGAATTGCTTCCTGAAATGTTTGGCTCCAGCAATGCCTTGCGTTGTCGAAGTTGTGGGTTGTATCATTGAAGGCCAACGCTGAAACAGGATAGGCGCACGCTGCTGATCCGGCAAGTGCGGCTCATTGTCGCATAGATCCGATGTCTAAGTTGGCAGACTGGGCTCGCCCGCAAGTCTTCAAAGGAGCGGCTTTTTTCTGCCCTAGGATTTGGTCATCAAACTCGAATCTTGTCTAGATTACATGGCTATGTTTCTTGTCCATGCAAGGGACTTCGGTGGCTGGTGGAGTATCGGCTTTGATTTACACTGTGGAAAGCCATCCGTCCATCCACTTGGCTATGATCACGCAGTCTGTTGGCCTGGCTTTCCTGGTTGCGTGCCTGCCTCCGTTTCCGTCTCTCTGTTTATTCGATATGAAATAGCTCACCCTTTGACCACAAAAATGGACAGGTGTCCCATCTTGCAAATTGACATTCTAAGTTCAGACAGATCCCGACCACAACCGCCACCTTCAACAACAGCAACAATAAGGCCAAGAAGAAACAGCAAAAACATGAACAAGGACAGCAACACGAATAACACAAACACAGAGATGCGCAAGACAATTTTCAGCAACAAACGACATACGACAAATATTGATATATTTTTCCATATTTCCATATTTCCCGCAGGATTCGGTGCGTTTCAGGCTAAAGGAGATTTTCTAGCTCCAAAATGCTGCAAGTGCTGTGCGAAATAAAAGATCTAGCATGATCTAGCTCCAAACTGCTGCAAATATCGTGCAACATAAGAATATCCAGCTTCAAGCTGCTGCAAAAAATGTGCAACATGAGAGGTTCACGCTCCAAATGCGGCAAATACCGTGCAAAATGAAAGGTTCTAAGCTCCAAATCCAAGAAGTGTTGCAAGGTCCTAGCCCCGAAATGCTGCAAATTGCAAATACCATGCAAACACGAATTCGAAACAACATCCCCAAACCCTCTGGGAAAATTACAAGATGCAGCCCACGTACGCCAAGGCCCACACGTATGTCCATGGTACAGATGCCAAAACACAAAGAGAGGAAAACTTCATAGATTCATAGATGTTGCAACCTGTGGCTGCAAGAGCAGAGTGTAGAGTCTTATAGCGTGTAAAGTGTAAAGTGTACAGTGTGGAGTGCCAAGTGTAAAGTGTAAAGTGTGGAGTGTAAAGTCTAGAGAGTTAGAGTGTGGAGTGTCAAGTGTGAAGTGTGGAGTGTGGAGGTAAAGTGCAGAGTGTGGAGTGTAAAGTGTAGAGTGTGGAGTGTAAAGTGTAACGTGTAGAGTGCAGAGTGTGTGGAGTGTAAAGTGTAGAGTGTAGAGTGGGGAGTGTCAAGTCTAAAGTGTGAAGTGTACAGTGTAAAGTGTGGAGTGTAAAGTGTAGAGTATGGAGAGCCAAGTGCTAAGTGTAGAGTGCGAAGTGTATTGGGTAAAGTGCACTGTAGAGTGTGGAGTGTAAAGCGTAGAGCGTGCAGAGTAATGTGTACAGTGCAAAGTGTAAAGTTTAGAGTGGAAAGTGTAAAGCGTGAAGTGTAGAGTGTAGAGTGTGGGGTGCCAAGTGTAAAGTGTGAATTGTGAAGTGTAGAGCGTGGAGACTGGAGTGTTAAAGTGTAGAGTGTGGAGTGTCAAGTGTAAAGTGTGGAGTGTTCAGTGTAAAGTGTGGAATGTAAAGTGTAGAGTGTAGAGTGTAGAGTGTGTGGAGTGTAAAGTGTAGAGTGTGGAGTGTAAAGTGTAGAGCGTGTAGGGTAAGGTGTAAAGCGTAAAGTGTGGAGTGTCAAGTGTAAAGCGTGAAGTGTAGAGTGTGGAGTGTACAGTGTAGCGTGCGGAGTGTCAAGTGTAAAGTGTGAAGCGTGGAGTGTCAAGTGTAAAGTGTAAAGTGTAGAGTGTGGTGTGTCAAGTGTAAAGTGTGAAGCGTAAAGTGTTAAGTGGAGAGTGTAGGGTGTGGAGTGTAAAGTGTAGAGTGTCCCAAATATTGCACCTGCACGCAAAATGGACATCCGACACATACACGACACGTGCTGCACCTGCCACGCAAAATGACGATGGAGGTCTCCAAAGTGCTGCGCTTGCCAGGAAAAGTGCAACGCATCTTCTGAAAACGATGCAAAAGTATTGCGCCTGTCACACAAAACGACTTTGGACACTTTATCAGGCACGTGAGAATGTCGCGAGGTGCCATGCCTGCCACGCAAAACGACATCACAACCTCTGGGGGAACTTGATAGGTTGTGCAGCTTCCCCCATAGGCACGGCGACGCCACAAGAACAGAAGAGAATCAAGGCGAGACAGGTGGAAACTCAGAACAAGCATGTCGTACGAGACTTCTTCTTCAAATTTTTCAGTTTGTAGCTCCAAAAGTCGACCCCAAAGTCAGCTACCTCGAAATCCATGTTTCGTGTTTGTATCGTATGTCACAAAACGCCAGGCTTGCCAGGGAATCTGCACATTGTCACCACTTGACGCAGCCCTGACAATCTGATTCGCAAAAACACGGAACACGACACATCTAAAGTGTTGCACCTGCCACGCAAAATGACCATGGAGGCCTCCAAAGTGTGAGCATGCCACAAGAAGTGCAACTCATCTTCTGAAAACGACGCAAAGGTATTCTGCAGAACGATTTTTGGCACGTGGTGAAGCATGTTGGAATGTCGCGAAGTGCCACGCCTGCCACACGAAACGAGGTTGTGCAACGTTTGAAACCTCCAAAGTGACCGCTTTGGCAGCGCTCCCCATAGGCACGGCCATAGCGACCTCACGCGACTGGTTGAGCACGGTTGCGGACGGCGGCGCGACGTCTAGCGAACACACCCTCAACCCCCGAGCCCCCAGAGTGAAACGGGAACCCGAGCTACGCATTCGGCAAAACCAGAAACAATCTTGCACCGACTTGCATCCAAAGAAAACTGCATGGAACAAGTCAAAAGAAACTGTTGACACGAAATGCTTTTGTAGGAGAAAATGGCCGAAATGCCCTTGACATTAAAGCGTAACAGGCGTAACATTCCGGTCTTGAACATTCAACAAACCATGGTACCTTCATGTACCTTCCTCCTTTGCTGATTGCTGCAGAAAAGCCACGCTGCTCAGTGGAGCCGTTCTTGGCCAAGGATTCAACAACAGTTTGGGGACTTTGACATCACCGCATCCGTCTTAGTTGCATTCACGGCACGAGTCTCACAGCAACAGCAGGGGAGATTGCGCAGCAATTTTACAAGGTTTGCTTTGCTGCGGCGTTCGTTCTTCAGGTGCAGAGATTGCCGGGCCCTGGGCAAAACTTCGGTCCGCGTGACCCGAGGACACAGATTATGACAGTACAAAAGTTCATTGACTACATGCAAGAGAAGCCTCTAAAGAGTGAAGGCATGTTTTATTGGTCCAGCCAGATTTTGCATGAGCCTCCCTTTGACCAACTCTTGTCCAATTTCAATCGGCCGCCTCCTTTCAGAGCTTCAGACGATTTTCTGACAAAGTGGCGAGGTTTGAGGTTCATGGCACCATCATTGCTCCAATTTATCTTTTATTTCCGTTGGCTATTCATGGGTCCTGCTGGCAGCTATTCTAGACTACATGTCGACCCAGCTGGCAGCGCTGCCTGGAATGCTTGTTTGGAGGGCTCCAAGAGGTTTGTGTTTTTTGAACCGTCCGTGATGCATGACTTGCATGAAGACCTCAGCAACCCGGCTGCGTGCAGGCATCTCTTTCCTGAATATGTGGTGGACCCAAAGCTAATCTGCCACAATGGTTTGGAAATTGTTGCCAGTGCTGGCGATGTAGTGTATGCTCCCCCCCGGTGGCCCCATTTCGTCGAGAATTTGGAGGCATCGCTGTCTGTCACAGAGAACTTTGTCCGGCGACATCCGGATCAGTATTCTTTCTTTGATGAAGCGCTTGGAAGCGCAGAAAGTGTCGAGTTCGATGCATCAGGCTCCACAATTCCGGCATGCGAGATAAATCGGCTGAAGCGGTTCCGCAGCCTAGTGAGGTTGGCTTTTTCTATCGACCAGGCGCTCTACAAGTAGGCGGGTGACACAAGACATTGGGGATGTTCATGTTGGGCAAGGAGAGCAGCTGGCCCATCATCGACATGAAGACTTTGCAAGAGCAGCACGTTTAGGAGAGTGTAAAGAGCTGACAAGATTCTGCAATGGCCAGCACAGAAAGTGATCGCCAGTCAAAAAAAGTTGTGATGGAAAAAAGCGTTATTGCCCGCGCAAATTCATGACTGTGCTTTACGATGCTTTACGACTTGTGCGCATTTTGCATATCACTTGATATGTGCGCCTATCTTTCCTTCAACTAGGTCAATCATGCCTAAGGACAGTACGAACAAGAATCTGCAGCTTTGGATGCCACCCTTCAACTGCTTCAATCTCAAGTAGGCAGGTTTGGCCAGATTGGCAGTATGGATTTGTACAACCCCTTTGGATCATTTCTTACAAAGGGCTCAGAAGTTTGTAACGCATGGATTCTGAGCCGCTCAGCCTCAGTGTGTCTGTGCGCACGCACGTATGCGGTCAGTCAGTCATAGAGTGCGTCGGTTGCTGCGTGTGAAACGCGTTAGATCACATGCAAAGTTCAATTGGAATCAGAAATTGGGAGCATGCGGCCATTGTGCAGGTGCGTGCCTTATGCATACTATATATAATGGTGGGGGCCAGGGCTGATCGCCATGGTCTACCTGCAACGTCAGTTTCTTGCTTCAATGCTCACAACCCAACATTGCCAGAACAGATCCATGAGTGAACAGGATGTCTTCTTCCCGGAGCAATGAGGGGGCCGTATGTGCGAATATTCAAGATGTTTTTTCAACCCCTATAATCCCCCCACCCTCCCATGTGGGCTGATGTTTGTGAGACTAGCGATTGGCCAATCGCAGTCCCAATAATTTCCCACGTGGGCCCCATGGCGCTGCTACTATATCCGCAAGTCTTGATCCCGAACAGTTTCGCTCCCGCATCGTATTCATCGGAGAGTAAAAAATCCCGCCCAATCTCTTCTCTTGCGCTCTTCATCTTGGCTATACCCTGCTCAAGTATTCAAGTTTCTGGAGTGTTTCAAGTGTGTGTCCAATTCATTGAAAGCTTGGGCTGGCCCAAGGGTGACTTGACTAGCATTTCAGGTGCTGCATCGATCCAGTCGCATCCCAATTTGGGAACTAAGCCCCGTTGGTCCTATTTGTCTGTGTCCTTCGCGCCTCACTAGAGGTCAGGTTGGGATCTTGCGAGATTCACGGCTTTCGGCAAATTAACTGCTCTGTCCGCGCTTCCCCTCCGCGTCCATGCTTCCCCTCTGTCGCTGTTTAGCTGTCTTGTGCGGCTACTGTTCACTTCTTTTCTTCTTTGCCTTGTCAGGGTTCCTCTGGTTGGGCTGGATTGCTCCTTGCATTCCGGCTAAGTATAAAACTTTCATTCCATCTTGATTTTCATCACAGAAGCTAGCAGTAGCTAGCTGGAGTTTCTTCTTGCTTCACCGGAGATGAAGCGGGCCAGGTACCAAACGGGTGATTTTTCAACTTTTTTTTTTTATTTTACCCCGCTGTGGCTCCAAACCCAATTCATTCCACCGAACCCGCACCACACAACTCCACTTCACCCAAATCATTCCCTTCAAACCACGTAAGCCATGCCGCTAATTACATAGCTCCACCACCCACTCATTCCACCTAGCCTCTTTCCTACATGTTCCCTGTCGCGCCTCGCCTGGCATTGCTAGCTCCCATCTGCCCGTGCTTAGCTTTCGTTTGAGTTAACGACGTGGACAGATGGGACCCTGTGTGTTGCAATCTGTGCTGGTGATATTGCGCCATCATATTCAACCAGAACCCCTCTGTTTTTCCCATGAAGTTGCAACAGAGATGTTCCACCACGAATCCGTCTCTGTTCAAGTGTGGGCACTTGCGGGTGTCGGCACGTGTAACAGCTTTCTGGGTCTGCGGATTTTGCAGGGGTGGAGGCATGCTGGCAATTACCAATGAGCAAAGATGGCTTTGGTTTGAAGAATGGACCCCTTGCTCTTGCTCTGCGCAAATTGTGTTCTTACACTTCACCAGCGTGAGGCTGTTTGCAAAAGGCTGTTTGCATAGTCATCTTCCGTCTGGAACAGCAGTAGTTTGAAAAGAGCCAAGCAGACTTCCCGACAGGTGACCAGCTGATTTCCACGGTTGATGCATCCAGACTTCCAGGACTTGGCGCCTAGAGAGTCTAAACGTGGATGGAGGTTCAGCATTTTTGTGTTTGTCTTGCTTTTCAGCATTGTTCAAATTTGCCTCATGTTTCTTTTGTGCTTGTCTTCTTGCGCAGCGACGCAGTGCAGCGCTCGAGCTACATGTGGCTGTTGTCACATTGATCACCTCCACACACGCACACACAGAGAGGCGGACACCACCACTCAGGGAGACACATGAAGGGAGACAAGGCACAGACAAGACCGGAGAGGCGGACACCACCACTCAGGCAGACACAAGAAGGGAGACAAATGAAGGGAGACAAGGCACAGACAAGACCGGAGAGGCGGACACCACCACTCAGAGAGACACATGAAGGGAGACAAATAAAGGGAGACAAGGCACAGACAAGACCGGAGAGGCGGACACCACCACTCAGGGAGATACATGAAGGGAGACAAATGAAGGGAGACAAGGCACAGACAAGACCGGAGAGGCGGACACCACTACTCAGGAAGACACATGAAAGGAGACAAATGAAGGGAGACAGGGCAGAGACAAGACCGGAGAGGCGGAGACCACCACTCAGGGAGACACATGAAGAGACAAGGCACAGACAAGACCGGAGAGGCGGACACCACCACTCAGGCAGACACATGAAGGGAGACAAATGAAGGGAGACAAGGCACAGACAAGACCGGAGAGGCGGACACCACCATTCAGGGAGACACATGAAGGGAGACAAATGAAGAGACAAGGCACAGACAAGACCGGAGAGTTGGACACCACCACTCAGGGAGACACACGAAGGGAGACAAGGCACAGACAAGACCGGAGAGGCGGACACGCCACTCAGGGAGACACATGAAGGGAGACAAATGAAGACACAAGGCACAGACAAGACCGGAGAGGCGGACACCACCACTCAGAGAGACACATGAGATGGAGACAAATGAAGGGATACAAGGCACAGACAAGACCGGAGAGGCGGATACCACCACTCAGGGAGTAAGGGAGACAAGGCACAGGCAAGACCGAAGAGGCGGACACCACCATTCAGGGAGACGAAGGGAGACAGGGAGACAAAGCACAGACAAGACCGGAGAGGCGGACACCACCACTCAGGGAGACACATGAAGGGAGACAAATGAAGGGAGACAAGGCACAGACAAGACCGGAGAGGCGGACACCACCACTCAGGAGGGAAGACACATGAAGGAGACAAATGAAGGGAGACAAGGCACAGACAAGACCGGAGAGGCGGACACCACCACTCAGGGAGACACATGAAGGGAGACAAGGCACAGACAAGACCGGACCACCACTCAGGGAGACACATGAAGGGAGACAAGGCACAGACAAGACCGGCGAGGCGGACACCACCACTCAGGGAGACACACGAAGGGAGACAAATGAAGGGAGACAAGGCACAGACAAGACCGGAGAGGCGGACACCACTCAGGAAGACACATGAAAGGAGACAAATGAAGGGAGACAGGGCAGAGACAAGACCGGAGAGGCGGAGACCACCACTCAGGGAGACACATGAAGAGACAAGGCACAGACAAGACCGGAGAGGCGGACACCACCACTCAGGCAGACACATGAAGGGAGACAAATGAAGGGAGACAAGGCACAGACAAGACCGGAGAGGCGGACACCACCATTCAGGGAGACACATGAAGGGAGACAAATGAAGAGACAAGGCACAGACAAGACCGGAGAGTTGGACACCACCACTCAGGGAGACACACGAAGGGAGACAAGGCACAGACAAGACCGGAGAGGCGGACACTGCCACTCAGGGAGACACATGAAGGGAGACAAATGAAGACACAAGGCACAGACAAGACCGGAGAGGCGGACACCACCACTCAGGGAGACACATGAAGGGAGACAAGGCACAGACAAGACCGGAGAGGCGGACACCACCAGTCAGGGGGACACACGAAGGGAGACAAATGAAGAGAGACAAGGTACAGACAAGACCGGCGAGGCGGACACCACCACTCAGGGAGACACATGAAGGGAGCCAAATGAAGGGAGACAAGGCACAGACAAGACGGGAGAGGCAGACACTACCACTCAGAGAGAAACATGAAGGGAGACAAATGAAGGGAGACAAGGCACAGACAAGACCGGCGAGGCGGACACCACCACTCAGGGAGACACATGAAGGGAGACAAATGAAGAGACAAGGCACAGACAAGACCGGAGAGGCGGACACCACCACTCAGGGAGACACACGAAGGGAGACAAGGCACAGACAAGACCGGAGAGGCGGACACTGCCACTCAGGGAGACACTTTAAGAGAGACAAATGAAGGGAGACAAGGCACAGACAAGACCGGAGAGGCGGACACCACCAATCAGGGAGACACATGAAGGGAGACAAGGCACAGACAAGACCGGACCACCACTCAGGGAGACACATGAAGGGAGACAAGGCACAGACAAGACCGGCGAGGCGGACACCACCACTCAGGGAGACACACGAAGGGAGACAAATGAAGGGAGACAAGGCACAGACAAGACCGGAGAGGCGGACACCACTCAGGGAGACACATGAAGGGAGACAAATGAAGGGAGACAAGGCACAGACAAGACCGGAGAGGCGGACACCACCACTCAGGGAGACAAATGAATGGAGACAAGGCGCAGACAAGACCGGAGAGGCGGACACCACCACTCAGGGAGACACATGAAGAGAGACAAATGGAGAGAGACAAGGTACAGACAAGACCGGCGAGGCGGACACCACCACTCAGGGAGACACATGAAGGGAGACAAGGCACAGACAAGACCGGAGAGGCGGACACCACCACTCAGGGAGACACATGAAGGGACCGGAGAGGCGGACACCACCACTGAGGGAGACACAAGGTGGGAGACAAATGAAGGGAGACAAGGCACAGACAAGACCGCAGAGGCGGACACCACCACTCAGGGAGACACATGAAGGGAGACAAGGCACAGACAAGACCGGAGAGGCGGACACCACCACTCAAGGGAGACACATGAAGGGAGACAAATGAAGGGGGACAAGGCACAGACAAGACCGGAGAGGCGGACACCACCAGCCACAAAGAGGCGGAAGAAAGAACTGAGAACCCCTAACAGTAAACAGTTTGGGGAAAAAGGTGAGACAACACGTCGGGAAGGCGGACGCACCATCCAACACAGGCACACGTGTGGGGAGACAATGAGAGACAATGGGGGACAATGGGAGACAAGATGTCAGGAAGGCGGACGCACCATCCAACACAGGCACACGTGTGGGGAGACAATGAGAGACAATGGGGGACAATGGGAGACAAGACGTCAGGAAGGCGGACGCACCATCCAACACAGGCACACATGTGGGGAGACAATGGGAAACATTGGGAGACAAGGGAGAGACAAGACATCGAGAAGGCGAACACATTATCCAACACAGGCACACATGTGGGGAGACAACGGGAGACAAGTGGGGACAGGGTACCCTGAAGGCAGACACGCCAACCAACAAAAAGGAAACACGAAGGGAGACATTGGGTGGGTATGCAGGAAAAAACGCAAGTGGCAGCAACAGCAAGCAACTTTGACAAAACCACTGTGTCGAAGGGGTATTGCACTCGTGCAGCGACATTGGTCACCGGGTTGGTGCAGCCAGGCGTTGCAAGGGTTTTTGCAACCGGACTCACGCAGCACAAGCGCACAGCGACGTCAGACTCATACAGGAAGCATTGGTTTCCTGGAGGGACTTCTTGTGCGGGTGGGAAGGGTTTGCCTCGGGCATGCTTGCTTTTGCAATCCGAAGGTTGGGGAGGCCAGCCAAACCGGGTTTGGCGCACCAGGATTGGTTCGCAGCCTTCAGCTTGGTGGTTTGCCTGCTGCCAGAAGCACAGACTTCTTGCATGTCCTCATAAGATCTTCAAATGGTTTGTATAAGCCTTTTCCAAGACTTTCAACGTTTAAAACCCATTCTTCCTCCGCAAAGCCGATGGTGGAACGTGTTGCCAAGGTGGTGCTGTTCCAGGACGGCTCTAAGGTCATGCAGTTGGAGGGGGTTGACGCAGCTACCGTCACGGCGGATGAGCTTCAAGAGGCATTGGAAGCACCTCAGCTGCACATGAGAAAAGGATGGCTGTGCACGGTTTGCGTAAGTTGCTATGACAGGCCTGTTGTTATTATTGAAGCTCCTGTGTGCGCCTGCTGTGATCCGGCGCTGGCACCTCGCTATTGACGCTCCAAGCTTGCTTTGGAAGGTTTTGGCTGTATCTACGATACTTAGGACCTAGGATGTTCTCCGGAAGTTGGTCGGGCGTGTGTTTGGCCAGATGCTGGAGGAAAGGCAAGGCCAGTTGAAGTTGAAAATCCTTCGGGAAAACTTCTATGCGCACAGCCGCATCAAGAAACCTTGATGCAGCCACTCCGCCGCGCGCTGCAGAGACCGAGCTGCAAAACGCGGTAGAAGTACACGCTACGCTAGGGCAACAGAAGTTGTTGTTGCCCCAGAAACGGATCTCGGCACCAAACCAAAAAAGTACGATTTTGAAGCGCTTTGAAACAAATATGCCATAGGAAAATGACTTGCGCAGACTTGCGCCAAAAATCAAACATCAGCAACCTGGATGCAGCCACTCCAATACGATTATCCAAGGCCCAGTTGGAAAACACCATAGAACTGTGCACCCGGCCGCAGCACCAAAGAACCTTGATGCAACTGCTCCACTGCGGCCCGCAGATATTGATTCGCAAAAGGCAATAGAACTACGCACGCAGCTGCAGCACCAAGGAACCTTGATGCAGCTACTCCACTGCGATCTGCAGAGACCGAGTTGCAAAACACCATAGAACTACGCGCAATGGCAACCAGAAGTTGTTGCTCCAGAATCGGATCTCGGCGACACAGGGAAAAAAGTAGAAGCCGAGAAAAACAATCGGCAAATTATCATCGCAACCTCGATGCAGCCATATGCAGCCATTCAATATGATTTGCGTCCGGTTGGAGAACACAATAGAATTACGGACGCAGCCGCAGAACCAAGGAACTTGGATGCAGCCATTCCACAGCGATCTGCAGACACGGGCTTGCAGAACACAAAACGTGCAGAACACAAAACGTCTACCCACGCAGCTGCAGCACGAAGGAGCCCTGACGCATTTCCTCCGCTTCGCAAAGAAACTCGGCGCCTGGAAATAGCAGAACACAGCGTGAACGGCAAGATGCAAAAGTCAGCTTGAGACAGAGCCCGAAACCATCGCCCAATTAAGCCTACTTTTCTCGGATCACTGACGTGCGTGCGTTCAGCTGAAAAAACAATTCTTTGCGCAATTTCCAAGATTCAAACCTCATCTTGGATAAAACACTTTGACTGGGATCGAGAAACAGCACCGCTTGACATACTTCAACTGTTTGTGACCTTGACCTCGATGCAGCGTTGCACATCCACGAAGTAGCGAATAGGATTCGGCCCCAGCTCGACGATGCTCGAAACCGTCACCCAATCGAAACTACTTTTCTCGGATCACTGACGTGCGTTTAGCTGAAAAAACAACGAATTTGTTGCGTTGTTTTCAACATTAAAACCTCATCTTAGATGCAGCAGCTACAAGGCGATGTGCCAGCCGGCGACAATTTCAGGGTGTTAGTACAATTCCATTGGATGAGAAGAGGAAAAGCACGCTGAACAGAAAGATATAGAAAAAGGGAAGAGGAAACAGCGTATATACTAGGCAACGATTTGCCGAACAAAATCCTTTACCTCCTCAGATAAATTGTTTTTTGGGCTACCGTTTTTGACACCTTCAACAGTGACACCTAATTAGTTGATGTATCACATTTGCTTCCGAAACTGTATATAGTAGTGCAAAAGACATGTATGACAATCTGGCTGATGAAGAAATCCTTCAGTGTGGTAAGGAACTAAACCGAGACTGAGACATGAACGCGCTGTCAATGAATAATCTCCTGCCGACAGTAGCGACCACACAACTAAACAACGGAGACGAACTTTGCAAAGTAATTGATAATCAGAGCTATTGAACACTGGTGGAAAGGCACGACCACACCAAACCTTCACAGCACCCATAACAGCAACAATACTTGGCCCACTCATCCAATGACAACATACCCGGTGAGATTGAACCCCAAATTTCCTCCAGAACCCCCCGCAAAAAAAACATCAACCGTAACAAAGCAACATTGAACACAAATTTAATTACTAAAGCATAGCAACCAACATACGCTCCTCAGAACCACCCTTTCCCTTTTTTTGTTCGGTGGCTCAGTTTCCTGATTCCATGCTGTGCGATTTCCTTGGTGGGTGCATTTTTTTTTTGGTGTGTGTGTGCCATCTGGATAGATGTAAAACTTCTTATTCCTGCAGGGGGCCACCGGGGTCCCAGGGGGTGGGTACCTGTGAAAACGTACCTGCTATATATATATATATAAAAATAAATAAATAAGTAAATAAATAAATAGAGTCCCGCCCCTGGGCGCATATAAGTCGCAGCTGGGGGAACATATATTTTATCGCTGTTGTTTTATATGGTCAACGTCTACTGTGATTATATGTATATTCATCATGTCATCTAATTGTTGGTGTTTTTGCACGTAAGATGCACTCCACAACCGGATTCGCAACGACAGTTCTGAGCAAGTGTGTGTGTGTGTGTGTGCGCTGGATGCTCTTCGTGAGTACTTAATCTTGCATGCTTACAGATACTCACAGGTGCAATCCTGCAGGTTTCCTTACTTGCAATGCTCACAACATCTTGTCAACTTCTCGGCTTCTAGTCGTTGCTACGCTCAAGAGCCTGTGTAATTACCAAGAGTGGGCCGCCAGTTTGTGCTTTTGTCAGGGTAGGTGGCTACCTGCAATAGTACGGAAACTTCGGGGCTAATGTCAATGTGTGCCCTGAGACGCTTCCTGGTGCTCTTGTATCCATTCATGGTTGTTGTTTTGCTATAGTTTCTCTGTTTCCAAGGCCGCCCGAAATGGACTTGTGTCCTGAATGCGTGTCTCGCAATGTGGGAAGCTTTCTGAAACAGCATTGAGGCTACAAAGGAAAGAACCTGCGCCTTTGTACCATCATCTGCAGATTTGATCTTGCACGTTGGGGACATTGGAGTTGTTGGAGCTGAATGTTTTGAAGATGGAAGAACATTGCAGACTTCCATTTGCAGCTCTAAAATGTTGTATCTATCTATGCAGCTACTTTAAACGTGCTGTTCACTTCGATTGCGGCATTTCTGTCTCAAACAGCGTTGCAGAAATTGCTTGTCACCAATAGCT